CACACACACACACACACACACACACGCACACACATGCTCATTTTATGGCCTTCTTTTTTATAATTTCTTCCCCATGGGTCTTGGCAGAATTCTGTATGAAATTTTTCCCTCTATGGGCTGTTCTTTGGCCCTTTTAAAAAAACCTACTCCATACTAAACAATTGAATTAAAATGATACTTATCGATTTTTGTTCAAACCAAAGGCTTGTGTACTAAGGCACTTTATCTGGTAGAAGCGGATGGGCCCGGATATTAGGACTAAAACTTGGCCCTAGCGTAAGCCTTGCTTTGAGACCTACCTAGTAAACCCTGACGCTTCTGAAAAATAGTTCCTAGCTCCTGCATCTTCCATCGAATCTTCATCTAAACCATTCTTTGGGTCGCCCACTGTAGTTTCCCATGGGAATGTAGGCATCCTACGATTGCATATATTTGAGCACCGCAACGATTGAAACCCTCAATCTGGAAGCGCTCGACTGCTGTGGGGAATGGTTGCTTGCGGCATTGCTCTAGTTTCGTGAAGACGCCGTTAGAGTTCCTGTTAGCCCGGCCGCCACGTCAGTTTCGAGTAGCTTCTGCCCTGCCATAGCCGACCTCGGCTCGAAGTGAATCGTGTTACTCTCCACCTGATTACGAGTATCCGAACACGAAGTGACGTATACACGTGCCCATCTTCCTGGCTCTCGCTCCCATCTGAGTGAGCACGTGCAGTGGATCGCGTCGGTCATGGCATCAGGAGGGGTAATTTCATTCTTCCATTCTGTCCCACCACCCACCCCCCACCTCCCACCTTTTCGCCCCATGCGTCCCCTCTTCTCGCCTTATCTTAAATGGTCCCTCCACCCACCCCCTACCTCCCACCTTTTGCTCTGCACGCCCTCTCACTCGAAATGATCTCGCCTATGGTTCTATAACCATCCCCTATATGATACTCGATCCCGTTTGGTACAACATGAAAGAGGTTTTTTCTCTCTGAAGATCCGATCTGATGGAGGTCGGTGAAAAGTACTTTAGAGCTTGTTCCATCGCCCTTTTATTCATTGGCACTTTGGGGTCGTTCGACCGGATTGGGATCCCGTATCAATCCCCTTTCTTCTTCGCTCCCCCTTTCCACACGCTGGTGTCCAGCGGGTTGATCCCTGGCTTTTGCTAAATGGTTGGCATCCCTCGTTCGTGATATGCGGTGAAAATCCGGTTGTTGGTAGTAGTTTTTGATTACTACTTCCCGTAGTTAACTGCTAATGATGCGTCAAAGTATTGACACTATGAGGTTCTTCGTAAGGAGCAGCGGATGGTTCCGCCACGCACATTTCTGTGTGGGGTATGGTCGGTTCTTTTGTCCCCCTTTTTTTTGGCCACCGAATAACATAGGATCATCTCTTTCAAGAGACACATGGTCAGGTGCTTGATTATCTCCTAAATGCTTTTGGAGTTCCAAGCGAGTCTAAAACTGGAGATTCTGATTTCTCCTCATGAGTGTCCGGTGATTTTTTTCGTAGATGAAGGAGTGATGTTGGAGTTGTTTTTGTTCGATCACAGGTTGTGTAGTGCTCGTGTGTTGAAACTTGTGCGGGATTCAATTTGGTCGTAGCRTGGCCCATGACCATGAGATCCTRACCCTTTCTTAGTGACGATCTGGGTCCTGTTTCACTGTATCTGCTTTTGGAGGCAGGGCTATACGGCTTGAAACCCTCTAGGGTCGTCATCTGCTGTGCCCATTTCYGCAGACCTTGTGAGTTGGTTTCCCCAGTATTTCTRAATGATGCTTCGATTRATCTTTTYTCGCTACGGGGTGTTGATTTCTCGTTTTCCTCATTTTGCCTCAGTATATCTGTTGCGGAGGACATTATGATTGACAAGGTTGATTGATCCATTTGAAGCATCTTGTCGAAAAATCCTGGTTGGGTATTGAGTGGTATTTGATGCTTGGTTTTCCTTCCTTGCTGTTTTCAGGTAATGCTTGTGACGGAATGTTGCTTWTTGTTGGTGTTGTTTTTAGAGCACGTGYTGTAACGCAACATGTTGCGACGCGGTCGCATKGGCCTATCTTTGAATCATTACACACGCACAGSGAGTTATTTCCCTTCTTGCTTGCGACGGGGTCAGACTCCCTATCGCCATGTTGTTGTTCGAAAAAGTGCTTACCAACATCGTTATGAGCTCGCATTCTTAGTCTTCTTGGTTACCATARCGGGAGGAGGGAATGACCAAACCCCCCCCTTTTTTTACCCGGTTATTCCTGAATAGGGTTTCCAAATTGGATCTTCCTCACCTTGTGAATTGTTTTTTCCTGTGGGCAGGTTCCCCCTTYATTTTCTGGCAAYGGATGGTATACCGATTTGCTGCTTGGGGATATGTTGTGGCTTGACTCATTTCCTGCCCCGTCTCGTCCCACACAAGCTCTAATCTCTCTTGCGTCTCCAACCATCCTGGAATTCGTCAAAATCCACTCGTTGAATGTCTCCCCCACTTTGATCACGGTTCTCTCCTTTGATCAGTGGGCTGATTTCCTGTGGACTGCAGCCCACAACAAACCTGAGTTCCTTGAACTCACCAAATACCTTGTGACCCATGCGTCTGACATAGCTAGCGAGGATGAGTTAGTTTCGTTGTGCATTRACAATGACCTCGCATTGAAGGAGAGGGTCCTTGTGGAGATATTTGGGGCGGATTCTAATTTTCATGCTGGCTTGGTCTCCACGGAACATGCGGATTCGGATGGTGACRAAGGRGAAAACGAGGAGGAGGAYGGGGAGTCGTTACCTCTCAYGGAGGAGGRGAAGGCATTTCAYRCAATGATGATAGCGGAGGGTAAGAAGRATAGAATCAAGGCGGTAGCAGACAATCGGAGGGTTAAGATCAATAAGTACGTTCGCAATGTGTTCCTTCCCACTGTCCCCTCGAGGTGGGTAGAGTCTCAGTCCAGGGAAGTTGACGACAAACTTTGGGATCTGTACACATTCAATTACACAGCCCCGATTCACGCTAACTCGTACAAATTTTTAGCATCCCTCACTGATGATGAAATGAAGAAGTGCAGGGAGAAGGCACTTATGGAGAACACTGACTTGATCAAGGGGAATTAGCCCCTCACTGCGGACAGCATGAAACTCCCTGTGATCGGGGACTTCGACCGAACGAAGTGTGTTGTGTCTCCCTCTGCTCTGGCMATTAGGGGCTTCTTAGCTCCTAAGACCCAAGCACCCATAGTTGRGCTAAAACGAATCTGGAACGTTGGTARGYCGTACCTGAAGTGCCAATGTGTCACGAATGGAAAGGGRGACTGCGGCAAGAATATTTCATGGYTGGACCACGTTTTGTGGTACCTCTTGTCTGATCTSTTTTATCTCTTCCCACAAGCYCCTTCTSTCCGTGCGCGAGCCCGTGCCTTCAGATTGAGGGCAAAAAACACTTGGCGAGTTCCCATGCTTGCGTCAGTAGTCTTCACCCATATGAGGGAGGTGATGGTTAAGATGGCATTCAATGTTACAGTTGACCCAACGAGAACCACACAGAACATTCTTGATAATCCGGACATTATGTTGCACAAGTTTCCTAAGACAATGGCTAGGCTCATCCTCCCTAACAGGTTTTCACATGCAGCGGGCAAGAGGAAGAGAAAGGAGATTGTGACAGTCTCTACCTCCAAGCAGCCGAGGTGCAAGCAGCCTTCCATTTTGCAGTTCTATGTTGCGCCCGCACAGGCAGATGCGGAGGAATCATCCCGCCACCAACCAGCACCTTCAAGCCTGAGCACCCCTCCTTCCTCCTCTGTTACTGTTCAGGATGACGGCCAAGCCTCAGCGTGCAGTAAACCCCTCAGGAGGAGTCCCAGGGGCTTGATGTCCTCTAGGGCATCACTTTTTAAGAACTGACCGACGACTATGATCTTTGCCATGTGTGCAGGAAGAGTTTGAGGAAGGGTTCATGTCTCTTGACCCCGCGGGACGCAATAAATGGCAGAAATCCTCTACAAGTGGCAAGGAGTTTTTTGTGCACCTTAAGTACACAAGCAGGATCATGGAGTCTGTCCACTTCAGACCTATCCTTGAGAGAGCTATTGACTGTTTCTTTTCTCGTGAAGCGAGGGAACTCTTATCCTTGGTAGTCATTGGATGGACTTACTTGAAGTCACTGGAATCTGTCGTGTATAGGCCTGCAGCCGTATTTCGGGATTTTTGTGTGGATGAATGGTTGAATTTTTGCCAGGGGTTCCAATCTTGTCCTTGCTATACCAAACGTTTTTTACCCCATCATCATCTTTGCACGCTGAACATGACCCAACCTTTCCCATCTCCATCTTCTTATGTCTTGTCCTTGGATCCCTCTATCTCTGCGAATCCTAAACTATCCGAGTTGTTGGCCCAAGGTCTTAATCACATCCCGCTTCACCCAAACAACCTCTTTGTTGCCCTTCACGAGTTTATCAAGGCCTCGCGGTTGATTGTGGGATTCATGTGTGGAAGGATGCACATACCCAAGGCAATGCAGACTAGAGCTTTTTCGTTTATTGTTGGGGTACTTAAGAAACAACTTGACTGTGCTAAAGTAAAACCGCATGAGGATCATAAAGCTGCGAATACCCCATCTTTCGTTTGTATCCACTTGATCAGGATGCTTGCCTTGGAAATATTGTCTAGCAACGATTTTGTGTCTATCCCCGCTGCAGCGGATGAAATTTTCGGTGAAGCTGCTTCTTCTCTATCGGAATTCCTCCCATCTATGGAAATTGGCCCTAGGAAGCTACTGTACCTAATGGCCCTATATAAACATCATAAGCTAGCCTTTAGATGGTTGACTAATGCTTCCATGACCTTCCTTACTCCTATTGCTAGCTTGTGAGATGCTGTCCTCAAATGTCTCACCCCTAATGTGATGGCGCATTGTAAGTTGATCTCTGATGGCCTACGAAGTTTCCATGGAGTTGATACATCCTTATGGTGGGCTATTAATTCCGTACATGACTATTGCTATAACATTCCTGATAAGGTATTCTCTGTATTCTCAGCCGATATTACTAGGTGCTTTGAAACTATTCCAATGGATTCTTCCGATGATAGTTTGATTGCAGCGGTGGTTTTTTTTGTCAAGCTCGCCTTTACGCATACAACTTCTCATTCAGCAGAACAAAGTGTTAAATGCAGGATCATGAGCAATGGCTCATTTGCCTGTACCTTGGACAAAGGCAGGAGGGAACCAACCCCCAGGATGTTCTGGCTGAGTGTTAGGGAAGTGATTCTACTCACAGAATGGTTATTGGCCCACTGTTTCACATCGTTTGGGGGAAGAATCTGGAGGCAGGTCCWGGGGATCCCTATGGGACTTCCTTGTTCTCCTACTTGGTGTACCATATATTTTTTCAAAWATGAGTATGGGCTRATCATGAGACTGSTARACAAGAGAGYCTYCTTTCTTCTTCCTCTRTTTAAGCATASRTTTCGGTATATTGATGACCTCCACTCAGTCAATAACCCTTCGATCCTCAAATTTRTGGAGGAACCACCAGCAGGTGAGGATCCTGGTCTCTATACACTCTACCCCCGTCACCTCATCGAAATTAAGAACCAAACAGAAGTCTTCGAGCTTGAAAAGTCGGGGGATGTGTATGGATTGAAAGCTCATTTTTTTAACATGGAAATCACGGTGACTTCTGACGTGACAGGTTCATTTTGTACTTCCAAATACGATAAGCGTCTCTCTCTGAATTTTCTAGTGATCAGGTATGTGAAAATGGCATCTAACAGGCCTATCCAGCAATCCTTGAACATTATCCTGTCTCCAGTTGCCACGATCCTGGTCCTCTGCTCGGATCCCAGAAATGCAGCAGAGGAGATTATGAGGGTTGTCTCCTACATGACCAGTAATGGTTTTTCCCGCCAAAGCCGTATCAATTGCGTGAACAGGGTCCTTAACGCTCCCTAAAACTTCCTCCTCCGAGGGCAGATCCAGCAACGACGATTTAGAAATTTCGGGTGAGTAATTTACATATTGCCATTAGTTATGCACTTGTACCTTGAAGAACTGGTTATTACGGTGATTGTGTGGGTGTCTTAGTGACCCCTACCAGTAGGTTTGCTAAGGTGGATAGTGGGTATCTTGCCTAAGGCAGGTACCTGCTACCTGCCTTAGCAAGCCACCCGTAGCGAGGATTGGGAGGGTGACACACACACACACACACACACACACACACACACGCACACACATGCTCATTTTATGGCCTTCTTTTTTATAATTTCTTCCCCATGGGTCTTGGCAGAATTCTGTGTGGAATTTTCCCCTCTATGGGCTGTTCTTTGGCCCTTCTGAAAGGCCCTACTCCTTACTAAACAATTGAATTAAAACGATACTTATCGATTTTTTTTAAACCAAAGGTTTGTGTACTAAGGCACTTTATCTGGTAAAAGCGGATGGGCCCAGATATTAGGACTAAAACTTGGCCCTAGCATAAGCCTTCCTTTAGGACCTACCTAGTAAACCCTGACGATTCTGAAAAATAGTTCCTAGCTCCTGCATCTTCCCGCGAATCTTCATCTAAACCATTCATTGGGTCGCCCGCTGTAGTTTCCCATGGGAATGTAGGCACCCTACGGTTGCATATATTTGAGCACCGGAACGATTGAAACCCTCAATCTGGAAGCGCTCGACTGCTACGGGGAATTGTTGTTTGCGGGACTGCTCTAGTTGCGTGAAGACGTTGTTAGAGTTCCTGTTAGCCCGGCCGCAACGTCAGTTTCGAGTAGCTTCTGCCCTGCCATAGCCGACCTCGGCTCGAAGTGGATCGTGTTGCTCTCCACCTGATAACGAGTATCCGTGCTGCGTTCTTAGGGGGACTGCTCGGTTCCTCGTTTGGAGTGCCAACTCTACTCTTAGGGGGACCGCTCAGTTCGGGATGTCTTTGTTGCCTGTCGGTGATGACAGATGATCGTCGGAGTGTTCCCTTGGCTCAGCGGGTGGTGGGAACCAACAGTCTGCGGGGGTGAACCGTGATGTGAGTAGGTCACGTGCTGCTTTTCTCCAAGTTGGATGTGTGGACGTCCTCGTTTGCGCTCTTCCACCGGTCTTGCTCCCCATGCCACTTGCTTTGCAGATCGTCCTCGCTGCTCTGCTGCCTTGCCGCTTGCCTGTGAGTCGTGCCTCCCGTGTCTTTTGCTCACGTGCCTTGTAGTTTGGTAGCCTTGTGGCGGAGCCTCGCGCTTCACTGCAAGGTTGCTAGGCTGCTTGCCTGTGGGTGATGATATTTGTCCGTCGGAGTGATTCCCTAGCTCATTGAGTGGTGGGAACCAACAGTCTGCAGTGTTCGCCCGTAATGTGGGTAGGTCATGTGTTGCTTGGCTCTGTGTTGGATGTGTGGACTGCCTTGTGTTGTCTGCGCTCCACCGTTGTCTTGGTGCCCATCCCTCTTACTTTGTGTGTTGTTCAATCTGTGTTGTTGTGTTCACTTTGTGGCTTTGATGTATCGCTGGTGGTGCCTTGTGCGTCGTTACGCTGCCTCTAGGCTGCCCATTCAGGTGCCTTGCCGTTTGGGTTCTGTTTGTTTGCGGCGTGTTGGATGGTTGTCGTGTGGTTGTGGCCTTGTTCCTCGCCACTCGAGTGCCATGCTGCATGTCCACTTGCAGTCGTTTTTTTTTGTGTTGGGCAGTTGAGTTGCGCCGCGTGTGTTGGTGGTGCTTCACAACGGCGTTGCTCGCTGCTGTTGTCTTCCGGTTTTGGGTCTGTTCGTTTGTGGCGTGTAGGATGGTTGTCGTTTGGGTGTGGGCTTGGGCCCCCGAAACGGGTGCCATGCTTCATCTCCACTGGCGTTGTCTTCCACTTGCAGCCGTCTTTGGTGTTGCGCAGTGCTCTGGCATCGAGTGTGTTGCCTGATGCTTCACAATCGCGTCACTCGCTGCTGCTGTGTTCCGTTTGTGGGCAACCTGCCTTCAACAGGGGTCAAAGGTTTCTTGACCTAACGCATCCAAAACCGAGGATGCTGCAGATTGTAGAGGGTTCAGCCTCCTGATGAGTCGGTGCACTTTCGACGAAACAATCAATCATCAGTTTTATTTTTTTCAGTCCTTCCTTTTTTGTATTTAACTTTTTCGGTTGCTGTGCTTGCCTTCTACTTGTTTGGCTT